TTGTTTAAAAAGTTTTTCCCCGATTATTTTCCAAAGATAAATTGGTTTTCGGTTGCATTTTAGATTGGGTGTTTGAGGGGATTTCTAAACCAGCTTTAAAGCAATTTTTAAATTAATCCCTTTTCCAAAAATTTTGTTGTCACCTCAAAATTAATTTATTTAGGTGCTTGTTTCCAACCTTGTGATCTTAATTGTATTTTTGTTTGTTTTGGGACCTTCATCTTACATTCTCACTTGTTTATTAGTGAATACAACATGAGTTATAAAAAAAAATCCCTCCCTCACCGTGCATGCATTTTTTGAAATAAATAAAAATGTTTATTTGTTGTGTTTATAAAAATTATGTGAAAAAATATCTTTAAACTATATTATTTTAATAAAATCCTATTAAAAAAATAAAACATCTTAGTTTTTAAAGTAAAAATAAAGTTATTTTAGTTTTTTTATTAAAATAATATAAATTTTAGTATTTTTTTCCTTAAATTTTTTTTATAAATATAATTAATAAACATTAATCTTAAATAAATAAAACAAGTAAATAAATGTTTCTTGAGATCCACTATGAAATTAGGCCAGCCTTTATTAAATTCTATGTCCAAACCAACCACATCAGGCCCATAAGATTACAGCTGTTAAAGCCCAAAGTTTCATCTTTTCTATGGCATGCCAATTTTCCATTTGCTGGGCCATTAATAGATTGTTTTTTATTTCTTTCCGTGTTTTTTTTTTTTCTTTTTTTTCTTTTTCGCTTTTGAGCAGCAACAGTACATCGTTTTGGAGAATCTCATACTGATAGAATTATAAAAATTAAAAGTTGCTCCTCAATTTAATTTTAATAAATTTAATTTTTTATTTACAATGTGTAAATTTAATTATTTATTTTAAATATTATTTAATAAATTTTTTATTTTAAAATATAATTATAATATATATTTAATAAAAAAATTATTTGAATAATATTTAATTAAAAATATATATTTTTATAAATAAATTTTTAAAATTTTATTTTATTAAATTAAAAAACTAAATTTACTTAAAAAAATTTTTTTTTCAATTCCTTAACGCAAAATAAGGATTTTGATATGCAATTGGCCCTTGCAACCTAATGGCAATAGCCACCCCGATGCATTCCCCCTTCTCCGGTTGGTTTCGAAACCTGCCCCTTGCAAATATGTTAAAAAAAAAAAAAAAATAAGGACTTTGATATGCCCAACTCTAACATTAGAAGATTTGTCACCATCTCTAATTGTTTATACTTAACTGTAATACAAACTTTATGACATTTTTTTTCTTTCTTTTTTGCAATAAAAAATTGGTTAGAATTTGAGATTGTCCTTTTCCATGGAATTTCTTAAATTTCCTGTCTTTTTCTTCTATATTTTTTTAGCTATATATTGGATTTCATGCTTGTGGGAATGCAACCCAAAACAGCAAAGCAGGCTTAATTGTGTTTAATTTTTTCCAACTCCCAACAACTCCAGCACATAGGCGCGCACTTGCTGTAAAAGTTAAGACGCTGCTTTCTCCGTGATTTTGAAATTTCAAGAAACCACACAACCTCTTTTCACACGCTCACCGCTCTCTTCACTTTTGGGATCTTTTTTGTCCTTTTTGGCCCTTTTTTCTTTCTCCTGTTTGGAGATGTTTGCTCAATTTCTCTCCTTTCATTTTTTTCCCCAATGGGATTCTTGGTTGGTGAGCTACAATCCAGCTGCCATGTATTATTGACTTTGCCTTGGATCATGAAATGCTTGTTGTTGTCTGCTCGGATCCTTGTATCTTGTTTTTGCGTTCTGGGTTTCTATTTACCATGAGAAACTTAGGAATCTAGCTGCTGTTGTTTTCTCAGTTTTCTCTGTTTTCAGGTGGAATTCAGAACAGGTCAGCCCTTTGTCTTGAATTGTTACATTTTTGTCAAAAGGGTCTATGTACAATTTCGTTTCTATCACAATCAAAATTTGTTGACTTTCTCCCCAATCAGTACAAAAAGTCTTTAAGTTTTTCAATGTTTCTGTTTCTTATATTTGACAGTTGATAACGAGGCTATAATTTGATCAAATTAGAAGAGCAGATGAAGTTGTGTATGATTTTGCACTTTCTTTTGTTGAGAATTTTAGACCATGATTAGGATGTAACTGACGATCCTTTGGGTTATCACTAAACTCCAGTGTTGACTTGGGATTGTTTTGAGAGAATTTTATTTTCCTTTTTGCTATAAAACAAAGATAATTAGGTATTGCTTTGACTTGTGAATTACTGATGGAATTTGGGTATAATCAAGACAAGAAACAGGCTTTTTGCATTGATAGTAGTAGGAATATTGGCCTCTATATTTAGTGAGCAGGCATGTTGGATTTTTTTCTTTTTCTTTTTTCATGAATAGTTGCTCAAGGTTTTAGTTGACATGACTTTATGTTTTATACCAACTGAACATGAAATTTCTTTGTTTTATTTGGTTCTTTGTGATATCTTTTGTTGGTTAATAAAAACTTAAAGTACACTAAGTTAACAAAAATAATTTAGTTAATCATTGATTATGTCATTGCGAATGTACAGCTAGGAAGTCTGTTTTTCTAGGGCTATGAAGTGCTTTTATTTCTCTGGTAAAGTGAAAAATGGGGAAACAAAAACCGTGAAGTCCATTTCTGTCCGGTCCTCCACTACCGCTTCAATTTCCATGTCAACTGACCAAGATATGAAGAGGTCTGGATCTGAGTTTAATTCTCAGAATGTATCAGATTTGAGCACAGAATCCTCCACAAAGAACTCGTTTGCTGCTATGTCTCAAAAGCAGAATAATCTCAGAGTCTTCACTTTCTCAGAGTTGAAGACGGCAACAAAGAATTTCAGCCGCTCTGTGATGCTTGGAGAAGGTGGATTTGGTGGCGTATACAGGGGTGTAATCCGGAGCACAGAAGATCCACAAAAGAAAATAGACATTGCTGTTAAACAGCTAAGCAGACGAGGGTTGCAGGTTACCTTTCAGCTTATCCTTTGCTTTCTATAGTTCTTGGCTTTTGCTTTATGTTAGATGATGCAGGGGTCGTTGGTAATAGTTTTTAGGTTTCATTTCTCAATAACATAGAAACTCCTTACTCGGCTTTTTAAACTAGCATTCCAGTTGGGAAAAAATATAGGGAGGAATCATTATGAAATTTTCATTCATTATTTCCAGCAAATTTTGCATTGGCTGTCCTAGCGTATTAAATAATTATTTCCACCCGGTATTCGCAGGGTCATAAGGAATGGGTGACAGAAGTAAATGTTTTAGGAGTTGTTGAACACCCAAATCTTGTCAAGTTAGTGGGTTACTGTGCTGAGGATGATGAAAGAGGAATCCAGAGGCTGCTGATATATGAATATATGCCCAACAGAAGTGTGCAGGATCACTTGTCAAGTCGGTCTCAAACAACTCTTCCTTGGGCCACAAGAATGAAAATTGCCCAAGATGCTGCCCGAGGTTTAGCATACCTCCATGAGGGAATGGATTTTCAGGTGCCTCTTCCTTCCATCTTGATCTTGTTGCATGATGATACACTTGAGTTTTCTTCTTACACCATTATGCACATGAATTAGGTAAAGTCTATGATTTGAGATAATAGTTTGAGACTTGAAATTCATCTTCCTAGTCAAACTCATCGAATTTTTTGCTTTTGCTTGAGATAGAAGAGATAACATTTCCCCTTAAGAGCATTGGCTCTTCTTAATTAGCCTGCAGTGCTCTTCCCTGTCATGAAATCTAGTTTTTTTCCCATGGTTGCACAGATTATTTTCAGAGATTTTAAGTCTTCTAATATACTTTTGGATGAACAATGGAATGCAAAGCTGTCTGACTTTGGGTTGGCCAGGCTCGGCCCCTCAGATGGATTAAGTCATGTCTCAACTGCGGTAGGTTTATTTAATACTTGATGTTTTAACATTTTTGTGTTTATTAATATTAGGAAACATTTCATGATATGTGCTTGGCTTAGGATCGTTCGGAATAGATGTACTGACTTGTGCAATTTTTAAGCAGGTTGTAGGAACCATTGGATATTCAGCACCAGAATACTTACAGACAGGGCATCTCACATCAAAGAGTGATGTATGGAGCTATGGAGTGTTCCTCTATGAGCTCATAACTGGTAGGCGTCCTTTGGATCGTAGTCGCCCCAAGAGAGAACAAAATCTCTTGGAATGGATCAGGCCACACCTCTCTGATATAAAGAAGTTCAGGTTAATTTTAGATCCAAGGCTTGAAGGAAAATATTGTCTCAAGTCTGCGTACAAACTCGCAGCAGTTGCAAACAAGTGCTTGGTGCGGCATGCAAAATCACGCCCCAGAATGAGTGAAATCCTTGGGATGGTGAATCGAATCATGGAGGCCACCGATATAGGCAGTCCCAAACCCCCCATCAAGGGCTTGCAACCGAATGATGTTTCTAAAGTGTCCAAAAGCCTGCAGTTAAAAAGAAGGTTCATGGATTTAATAACTGGAGAGGGAGGATGCTTGATTTTGAGAACTTGGAGACCAAAGCTTGTAAAGGCAAGTTAAGGAATGAGTCAAGCAAAGAGAAATGGCAGATGTAAATCACATGTAAATCACACTTCACGCTTACATTTGTATTACGTATTTGATGACACAATTGTAAAGTTCTGTGTAAGTAATTCAGACTTTGCTTTCTACAAGGAGGTCTAAAAACTACATATTTGGGTTGACACTTTGTGCTAAAAACATGTAGCTTGATGAACTAATGTTTACTGTAGGAGATAGGCAATCTTGTTCTTTCAGAAGTAGAAATAGAAAGAATATAAGAGTTACATGGGCAATAGCACAATAAAAATTAACAAAAGTTTAGCCAAGTTCTTAAATTAGATTTTCATCAAGTTCAAAACTTTAATTTAGGGATAAGATTAAAGATCCAAATTTTTGTAATATCAAAACTCACTAATTTTACTAGAAAACATATCATAAAAAGAAGTTAAGTATTACTTACATTAACTCAATATTAAGAAAAGCATTTAGAGAAGAAGGTTAAAAAAAGTATTGCTATTACTTCGCTCACTTATAGAAAGAAACATTTAGTCCATCATAGTCAAAGTAGAACATATGACATTGAATGTGGATTAAAGTAGACAAGATCATCAAGCAAGAAAAATCAGCCTTTTACCAGAAAAGTCTAAAAATTAACCGACCTCTATTATGCCTCAATCACCTTCCAACTCACCAATTTCTTCCTGTTTAAGATAGACACCAAAAATCAAAAAGAGTAATTCTCATAAGAAAAAAAAAGAGAGAAAAAAGTCTTTAAGAATAAATGCTTATAGGACACGTTGTTGGTCGCCACCAGTTACCAGCACGCCACGTGACGGTTAATATAGCCGGCGGGAATGTGAAGAAATAAGGCTAACTTTTACCCACTCCTCTGGCTGACATTTCTCCGGCTATCATCCTCTTCCTCAACTGGCAAGTACCTTTGCTGAATTGTCTGGTTTTAAAATTTCAGTTAAAAAACTATGATTTCGTTTAATTATCTGTGTTTGATTATCTGTTTCGTGGATTGTTCTGTGTTTGTTTTGATTGGAAAATCGGTTTAGATCGAGGAACTGGAAATTTTGGAATTAGGCCTTTTTTTTTTTTTTTTTTTTTTTTTTTT